GAGACATTATCAGGTAGGTACAAATTTAGAGACCTTTTATGGCAAATGTAACAGTGACAGTAGAAAACTGTTCATAGGTTCATGGTCGAAACTGTAAAATGGTGGAAATGTAAATTACGATTGGGCTGTCGTGAGATCGGGACCCTTTTATAAGGACATAACCAGTCTGCCATATATTACAGTCATACCTCAGCTAATAATAGATTCATGATCCTAAGTGAACACTTGGAAGCTAATTTAGGAGTAAGATCGAGAGCGGTGTAACAATATATCGAGTTCGTTCTTACCTAACGCGAAGATCAACGGTGATATCTTAGAAAGTAAAGAAACGATGGTGTATGCATGAAAGCGTATAAAAGATAGGAAATTATATGTAGACGTAGAAGTGTCAGTGTAACAAACGTAACAACAATGCTAAACTGTGACGCTCGTTGACCTGCCAGTGTGAAGTTATGCGCTGGGACTTTATTCGGTGGCCAGTCACATTTGCCGCGTTTCAGTGTGGTTAAACGGATATTTGTGGCTTTTTATATGGAGGAGGTTTGACAAGCGAAAACCCATCACGTCCCGAAGCACTGCCGCCGATCCATTAAATGGCAAGCTGTAACTGGCAATGCTGCTTGTTGAGCGCTTATTTTCTCTGTTATTGGCGGTCAAGTTGCGCCCAATTTTTCCGTAGGCTGATGCGTTAGGCGAGGGCCTACTTTGTTCCTGGGGCCTGTACGGTCCTAACTGAATGGCTGGGCTTGATTAACGCTTAATAGCTTGAATAATTTTTGAATGTGATTTTGATCGTCCGCAGAAACATTTAAAGTCTCCACGGGATCTCCAGTGCAATATGTTGATGTGTTCTTGAAGTCTTAAAGGATGAGGTATTGTCCCGGAAAGCACATCGGTGTTCCTCGCGAGGTAATTGGTAAAATTGGGGGGAATAATGGTATCCACGGCGAAATGACGGGCAATGCTGGCTAAATAGCTTTGGATGAGTGACTAGCAGAAGCAAGTACCCAGTAGCGAAAATTGGACGAACCCAATTTCTCTGGCCTTGCATCGTCAGGTAGATGTGCCTTCTGAAGGCAACCAGAGAGCTCCAGGTAAGAAGTATGCAAAAGATATATTTTTATACAAATTGAACCCAATTGTTCAGGCCTCGGGAAAATTTTATCCGTGCAAGTTAACCATTCATTTGCCCGGTAGGTAAGCTGTAAAAGCGGCAGCTAGTCCCCCACTTGTTTCCATATAAAGGAACTTTATGCCTTTTATTGTAGTATTGTTGCAGCTACGGACAATTCCGTGGGTGCTCAACGCTGTAACTGTGACAAGCCTGGGTAAAGAAGCATCCAACAAAAACAGCCACACAGACGAAAGAAATCTATCCTAAACGCAGCAGATAAATTTTAACAATAAATGAACGGTTGTTTCATTAATTCGTGTGATGGTTATTTAAATATCTCGTATACACAGGTAACATGTGACGAAATAAAACGAGAAGCAAACAGAGCACGGATCAGTAAGGAATAAAAATTGAGTCAAATTAGGAATTAAGGAAGAGCAAAAGGAGTTTGCAGGGTCCTAAAGCGCATATACCCAAGTTGTGAGACACCAGAGAGAGGAGGACGGAATGTGCGGACTATCGAAAAATATCGCTCACTCATAAATTGGTAGGAATGTAGGAAGTCCGGGAGGACAAACCAGTTTAAATTAACGTCAAATGAAATGGGAATGCAAGAGAAGGCGAGGGAAGGTAAGAAAAGGGTACGTAACTAGGTTCTAGTAAGGAGTAGCAAAGCCAACAACGTTCTTCTGGTGATGATTCTCGCTTGTTAATAACAAGAAAGCTGAACGAGACCCAGCGATGTAATTGAGGTAAGCGTGGCAGAGCGCTGAGCCGGAATAGGTAAATAGTATCCCCAGCAAGGCACTAAGGATAAAGAGCAGTGTTTTGGGACTACAGAGTCTAAATCGTTTAGCCTCAAATGTCTGGAAGCAGTCAGAAAGAGACAGGTCAGAAGAGGCTAGATTGGCGCTAAGCCCAAAGAGTTTTCTGACCAGTTGAGCACGAAATGCAAACAGTGAGCGCGAAAAGGAAAGCATGGGGTCGGAAAGGAAAAGACTGTATCGAGGAGAACTGGAATGGCCTACAATGATCCCGAGGGGTTGTGAGCAGACCTTTGCATCTCTCGATGGTTCACCTTAAAGATCACTGTAGTCGGAAGGCGGGTGACCGTTGAAACCTCACCGGAACGTCGGCTTATAGATAAAAATCCAAATAGTAATGTCGGAATGCTAACAGACAGCGTCGGCAGGATAGACATGTCGATCCCGATTCGCAGCCACTGGTGCTGATCAATACGCACCGCGGTTTCCTCTAGTACACCACGCTACCGTTTGGCGTCAAGACCGTTACGGCACATTGCCAGCTGTACGGATTCTGGATGATCGGATTATCTTTAGGCGCATTATTTCTCTTAGGTTCGCTGATAGCAAGAGTAGAACAAATATTGGTTCCAGCTTTTGCCGTGGTAAAAAGCAGGATGAACCATCTAAACTCGATCACTTATACATCGTCTGTCACAATGAGGACGAAGTTCGCAGCATTCTCAGGCAAACTTTTTGGGTAGAGTGTGGAGGTGATGTTGCTCTCAGAGAACTCTCCCCATGAAGATCGGATAAAAATGAAGACACGATTGTTGAAATGTAGACTCGTCGGACGACAAACCAATCAAATCTCCAAATTGTGGATTCTCCAGTAGTCCGGAAAGCTTCAAGCATCCAGTGGTAGCCAAACTTCGTCACACACAGACATAGGGGTCAACAGAATGGTTGCGTGCTATGTGTGCGAATGCGCCTCGACTTTTTATTTACACGTCAGCTAGAGGAGGGATACACCACAGCTGCTGTGCCGCAATACATAGATAAAAAGAGAAAATAAATACAAAAGTTTTAGGCCAGCTGAGCTACCAGCAACCGAGAGGCATCGTTCTGGTAAGCTGCAAGCCGGCTACTAGGCAAAAGAAAATATATTATGTTTTACGCAAAGAAAAGAGATCGTAGGTGGCGGGGAGGCTAAAAGGGATGGGGAAGGACAAAGAAACTCGCAGCAGGAACGCCACTGAGGTCGGATCCTTGCCATGTCATCAAGTGTATCCGGCCAAACGTGTTCACTGTTTATGGACCCCAACCAGGAAGCCGTGACGCTCCAACCCAGGCCAGCAGAGAAGTGAGGCCTTCATTCTTCTTGCCCAACCCATCGCTTGGCCTCCCCTCCTCTTCTTCCACACACCCCCGGTAAGCAAACAACGCACGTCGTGGAAGTCGATGGGCTGGCGTGCGCAACACGTGGCCTAGCCATCGGAGCCCGGTGTGTTAAATGACGGTGCTGAGTGGTTCAGTCCCTTTTCCTGTGCCGTAAACAAGGTGTCGAACACGCTCGTTACTCACGCGGTGTTCCCACCATATGTGAGCCAAACTGCGAAGGCACCGATGGTCGAACGCAACTAGCCTCTTTATGTCCACCCATCTTAGGGGCCAAGTATCGTAGGCGTACAGTGAGGTCAAACGTATCGCTGTATTGTACACTTTACCCTTCAGGGCGGGAGTAATGTCGCGCCGCCGCCATACGTGGCGAAAATTAGCAAAAGCACTTCTAGCTTTTGCTATACGGTTCGTAAGGTCGTCTTCGACCCCAAGAGCGCTGGTACAACTTCCCATGTAGTTAAATTTCCGAACGACTTCTAGCTGATCCCCACCAAGGCTCAGCGCAGGAGGCGCTCCCTTCCAATCTTGGAGGAACGCTTTACACTTCGATAGTGCAAAGCAAAGCCCGATGCGGCTGACAGCCAGTGCTACTCTGTCCAGCGCGGCTTGGCACGTCTGGCAGCTGTCACAGATGAGGGTACTATCATCAGCATACTCTAAGTCAAGGTGTTGTTCTCCTGGGAGCAGACCCAAACTTTCGAAGTCATGTCCTGTAAATGCAATCTCCATGACTTCGTTAATAGCGGAGTTGAAAAGAAAAGGTGACAGCGGGCATCCTTGTCTCACACTGCTAAAGCAATTTAAGGGTGGCGACAGTGTGTCGTAAGCCCTCACTCTGCCCATGCTACGCGCGTAAAATGCTGGCAAAATATTTACATATTTCTCGGGCACATCTTTCTTGGGTAGACAATTCCAAAGGGCACATCGATCAACCGAATCGAAGGCACCTTGGATGTCGAGGAACATGACTACGGTGGGCCGCCAATATGTGTGACGATGCTCCAACAACTGACGCAAGGTGAATATGTGGCCGATGCAGCCACGACTTAGACGAAACGCGGATTGCTCCTCACGAATGTGGCTTCCACGAGCGCCAGTCAGTTTGTGAAGGATTAGGGAGGCGATTAATTGGAGGCGATGGAGATCATACTGATTCCTCTGTGGTTGCCGCAATTCGAACGCGAGCCTCCTCTATAGATGGGAACAATAACGGAGTGGCTCCAGTCGGTTGGGACAGTTTCCTTCTGCCACAGTTTCACTAGTAATTCACGTACAGCATCAACAAGAGCAGAGACTCTGAATTTGAAGAGATCTGGAGTAAGATCATCTGGTCCCGCGGCTTTGTTCAACTTCAACAGTCCGATCTCACTTTCGACTTCTGAGCGAGAGGGTAGATCAAAAGGGACCGCCCACGAAGCAGGGTGATTACTGGCCAGCGAAGAATCGAACAATTCCAGCTAATTAAATTGCTTTTCAAACTGCTTAGCCCAACGCTCTAAGCTTTTTGACAAATTGTGGATAGGCTGTCCACTCTCGTCACGTATAGTTTCACTAACACCAGGTCTCCTGCTGCCCGTTTCCCGTATCAGACGGAATAACTTACGATGGTTGCCAAGGGCAGCGGCCACTTCCATCTCTGACGCACGATGAGACCACCAAGATTCGCGGTCTCTCTTCAGGCTAGCACGGAGTCTTGCCCGGAGCTCTTTGCGAGTTTTCTTGTGTTCGCTTCCAGCCGGGATATGCCGGCGAGCATCGGTAAGTTCCAGAGACCGCGAAGAGACCCAATGTCCATGTTGGCTATTAGACATACCACATGAGGATTTGCCTGCTGCTAGTAAGGTCTGGCGAACATGTGACCAGTGACCATCAATTGTCTCCAGTGAGCGCTTACTCAACTCGCATGTCAGCGTACTTCGATACGCATTCAGAACAGCTGGCTTTGTCAGTTGGCTGGTGTCAATGCGCTCACAGCGTCGTCGTGGGCGTCCGCCAAAACGCATCCGCATGTCAGCACATACAAGTGCATGATCGGTGTCCACACATGTGCTCCAATCGAGCGACAGTACTGGATTCAGCCTCTCCCGCGATAACTGATAGCAATGTGATTGATCTTCGTCCAAGGCTGGTTCAAGTTTGGTGGGGCGGGGGGGCGGGGGGGGGGGGGGGGGTGGCGGGGGGCGGGGGGGGGGGGCGGGGGGGCGGGCGGCGCGGGCGCGGGGGGGGGGGGGGCGGGGCGGCAGGGGGGCGCGGGGGGAGGCGCGGGGGGGGGGGGGGGGGTGGGGCGTGGGGGCGTGGCGGGGCGGGGGGGCGGGGGGGCGGGGCCGGGGGGGGGGGGGGGGGTGGGGGGGGGGCGGCGGGGGTGGGGCGGGGGGGGGGGGGGGGGGGGGGGGGGGGGGCGGGGGCGGGGGGGGGGGGGGGGGGGGGGGGGGGGGGGGGGGGGGGGGGGCGGGGGGGGGCGGGGGCGGGGGGGGGGGGGGGGGGGCGGGGGGGGGGGGGCGGGGGGGGGGGGGGGGCGGGGGGGGGGGGGGGGGGGGGGGGGGGGCGGGGGGGGGGGGCGGGGGGGGGGGGGGGGGGCGGGGGGGGGGGGGGGCGGGGGGGGGGGGGGGGCGGGGGGGGGGGGGGGGGGGGGGGGGGGGGGGGGGGGGCGGGGGGGGGGGGGGGGGCGGGGGGGGGGGGGGGGGGGGGGGGGGGGGGGGCGGGGGGGGGGGGGGGGGGGGGGGGGGGGGGGGGGCGGGGGGGGGGGGGGGGGGGGGGGGGGGGGGGGGGGGGCGGGGGGGGGGGGGGGGGGGGGGGGGGGGGGGGGGGGGGGGGGGGCGGGGGGGGGGGGGGCGGGGGGGGGGGGGGGGGGGGGGGGGGGCGGGGGGGGGGCGGGGGGGGGGGGGGGGGGGGGGGGGGGGGGGGGGGGCGGGGGGGGGGGGGGGGGGGGGGGGGGGGGGGGGGCGGGGGGGGGGGGGGGGGGGGGGGGGGGGGGGGGGGGGGGGGGGGCGGGGGGGGGGGGGGGGGGCGGGGGGGGGGGGGGGGGGGGGGGGGGGGGGGGGGGGGGCGGGGGGGGGGGGGGGGGGGGGGGGGGGGGGGCGCCAAGTCACCCTCGTGCGGGTGCTGTGTCGAACGTTAGTGCTCGCAAGAAATAAGCAAGCATCTTCCCACAAATAAAGTAAGAGCTCACCGTTATCATTACGGGAGCCTATACCGTGCTGATCGCCCAAAAGCATTTCATCAGTGGACAACTTTCTTACTTGCGCGTTCAGATCCCCAGCCAGCACAACAGTGTCCGTGCTTCTTCTGTGGCGAAGGAGCTGGGTCAGTTGGCGGTAGAAGTCCTTCTTTACCGAATCATCGCTACATTTTGTGGGTGCGTTGGCAGCGATGATGAATAGACACCTATTAGTCCCGCGCGACTTCGAAGCTTTGAACGAGCCAGTCAATCGGACCGCACACCGGCTATTGATTGGAATCCAACCAACCAGAACGTGCTGAGTTATCTGCAAGGTAATGGCTGATTATGACGCGTGGCAGTGAAGGCCGCAAGGAAGCTTTCTCGCCGGTGCTGCCTTATCTTTGCAAGATAGCCAGCTGTTTGTGACGGTATGTTGTCTACACTAGGTGTAGGTGCCTTGACCCTGAATGTTTGCTTAGGGCATTGAGGTTTTCAGGTAGGTCCCCCTTCTCTCCCTCTTCTTATTCTTTATTTCATAGGTCATCGTGTTTGTATGGCAGCGAAGCATCAGTTCAAATGGCTGATTTACTGCTGTTGATGAGGATGAGGATGAACCAGAACAGATTCCTCCCGGGGACTCAGGACAATGCAGACACCAGCTTGGCCGGTGCTCGAGGCTGCATACTCTCCGGATAGGCGTAATGAGAAAACACCGCTTGCGTCACCTGAAGGGGATCGCAAAGTGAGCACAGAGCTCGAGTCTTGCAGGCGGGTCCCCGATAAGCAGCAGATGTCGATCAAGCGGGTCTATAATATTCGGAAAGTATTGCCGGTTGACCGATCTGTAGTAATGTGGGTACATTAAGGTCTGCCAAACTAAAGGAGGATCGAAGGCTCCAGATGCAAGCCAAAAACTGGAATGGACCGCTTGATTGGACATGGGCTTGTCGACAAAAGAGGAGTGACGCACCGCCTTTACATGTGAGTAGCAATTAGAAGATAAATGCCTGGCAAAGCATGTTGGGGGAGGGTCAAGCGTCTGGGGTTAAACCGGGGGGAAAAAGTAAAGTTGGAACGGAAAGGGTAGAGTGAAAAAGCGCAAGAGAGGTAATAAGAAGATGGGAGGGCTTGAGCAGTAGCTTCCAAACCACTATCCACCCTGCTCGATGCAGAAAATAGGTCACCTGTGATTATCATCTGCGGTGGCCAGAGTATCAATAAATTAGTTGAGGAAAGGTTTATTTACTGGGATGAGAGTAAACGAGGTCCATCTTTTTTCAACATAACACTGCCCCGATCTGATGACAGACCTTGGACATACTGGACTTTGTAATCTCCGTTCCCGGCTACAATACTTCCAAAGCTGACCGTACTGCTGAGCGAGTTGGCGGAGGTGAAGCTTCAAGCTCATGTGGTTGATGTTTTATGTAACAGCGACGAGGAATGGGAGTTGCTTTGTTGCCGGATCTATAATGTCGGTAGATAGCGGATAGTCGGTAGTATATACAGGACTCTATCCGGTCTGGTACCGGCTTGTTGGAAGCTATCAAGGAGTACAGCAGAGGAATGGATCGCCCGGTTATGGCTGCTTTCCATGCTCCCGGTATGGACTGGGACTAGCTACACTGTGGGCACTCTGTTGAAGCTTTTAACTTTGTTTTCCTCGAATGCTCCTGGAAATTAACCTAACCCGGCAGGTTACGGCTCCTGCGCCAATTCTCACAGGACAGACTCCCCATATCTTTGGCCTAGCGTTTACACCAGCGCCATCTGATGACATTGACAGCTGGCTTCTAGCCCCTGAGCATTAGTGACCAATGCGTAGTCTCTCGTGGGTACGACGTGTGGTTTTTCAATGCCACGAAGTTTGCTCCCGAATTTTCTAGCTTTCTCATCCTAGACGCGAAAAAGCTGCCTCGACTGCAGTCGCCTGAAGCACGCCTGAAAACTTAGAGTTAGGAGAGGTTTGGATGCACATACTCAACGAAGAAACAATGCCCAATATTTAGCTTGTCCTCGTTTCCCTGAAGAAAACCGCTTCCCCGGTGTTCCACTTCGATTGATATTTACCTACGATCTCAGTTAAAAGCAAAACGAGGCTGTGGGCTAAGCTGCAAGTTGTACACTCGACTTCGAGCTAACCTGACTACGAAAGCTTCAAGGACCTTTGTACAGCAAAAGTTTATGAGAAGCACCAGATCCATGGGTGCATTCTGGCCTCACTGGTTTAGGCAGGTCCCAAGTAACTCTTTTCTTACATGAAATGGATTACCAAAGCTGGCAATTGTGTCCTCGCTCCGTTCCCGGTTCTGTTGGCAGATGTAGAGCCAGAAGACGCTGCGATAGCTGATCTTCTTGTTAACCACTACTCCTCGGTCTGTAAGGTATAGGCACCTCGGTTCAATTCTAATTAGGATAATCATCCTTGGGTTCTTGAGCCTGTTGAGGTAAACGTGGAGGTGGTATTGAGGATTCTCCTTGAATTGCATATACACGTGTTTCCTGGTTCAGACGGCTTACAACATCTGTTTCTCCAGACGGTCGCTGATCGTATTGCATCCAATATAGGTCATATTTGCCTGCTCTCCTTGCAACCCTACCATCTCCCATGCAATTTAAAAGTGGATATCATTAGGCCAATGCGTGAAGTTGAGAACCGGCAAGACCCTTCGAAATGCTGCATTGTTGGCCTGACATTGGGTATTTACAGAGTCACGGTGAGGTTTCTTAAGCGCTCACTACAGTCTCACCTGGATGCCCTGAATTAGATTCCCGAGGGCTGGCTCTTGCGTTATCAACATGCTCGCCGCCAAAGAAAGATGGGAACCGAATAAGAGCTAATTAAACTTCTGCATGTTGTCTTCGTCTACTTCAGTGGTGTGTTTCATAAGGTACCACATGCACTGTTTCGTCTTAAGCTCCAAGCAGTTGTTTTCTCGTGGCATATCCTCATTTGGATCGTGGAGTTCGTGCACGGCAGCTTAACGAGAGTCAAAGTAAATGAATCTCTTTCCCAGCCTTTCCTGATGAAAAGTGGCGTGCCGCAACGTTCCATTCTTTGTCCTCAATTGTTCAAACTATTCCTCAATGACCATCCCACTTTGCTCCAGGCGGAGTGTCTAATCTATCCTGATGACCTGGGACTATGCTTAGAGGTATCTGGCTAGAAAGGCGCCGACTCATATTACAGGCAACACTTGCCATCCTTAATGATTGGTCTATGGCCTATGGTTTGCCTATTAACCGGTCCAAAGTTTGCGTCCTCCCAATCAGTGCCCCTGTGACCTTCGACCCACACATGTCGGCGAATGCTAGCCCACGAATGTCACTCTGTCGGAGGCTCTAGACACTATTGTGTCACCCGATCTTAAGCTGACGCAGAACGCTTTGTGGATAGTTGGTGCAGCGTACATGACCGCCTTTGCTTTAAGGTGTTTCGCTCGATCGTTCCTGCAGTTCTTCAAACCCTTGATTCTTCCGCATGTAAATTCTAACCCTGAGTACGACTTACGGGCTGTTTACTCCCTCACAAATTTTGAATGCGTCATGTCTGCAACAGTACAGCGGCGTGGTCCAAAATCGGTCTCGGTAGTAAGTGATATGTCATATCTTGCTTGTCTGCAGCTGATGAAGCTATCCTCGTTGGCTTATCGTTATCGCCGCGGAGACCTGAGCTACTCCAGGTGTATACTTAGGGGAGGATTGGGGACTGATGCAACAATTCAACGAGTTGAATACTGAACGCGGGGACACAATGGGAAGCGGTTTATTCCAAGGTGATACCGTGTCCGTCTGGAGGTCACTCTCTCCACTCGGGTGATGCAGGAGTGGAACTGGGTGCCGGAACCTATTGTCAACGCGTCCAGGGCTGAAGATTTTATAAGACTTTTGAACCTCCGGGATCGTCTTGCTTTCGTTGCAGCTGTGACGGTTCATTGTGAAGGCCGTTACCCAACATTACGCATCGTCCCATTTCTGATCGGGATGCGGTGAATTTTACAAGGGTTCCACCTTCAGCTTTTTACGATTCAATGATTCATTGGTTCAACCATTTTACAGAACGGACAGCGGACAAATTGATGTCAAAGTGCCGTGGACGCTGCTTTGTCTCTGGTACAAGAAACCGTGAGCTCCGTAATCGGAAACTTACACTATCCTAGGGACCTGAATGTTGTGGATAACACCTAATGGGAATATTCGGTCCTTCAAGTGGCTTGATCATTTGCATCAATGTTCTTGTTTAATGTTTAACGTTGTTGCCCATGACAGTCGTTACTCTGTGTCAGGAATCTTTACCGTTTTTCTAAACCTTGGCGAGCGACCTACGGGAAGCTTCTGTTCGTTTCGTTATGGTCTCCGTTGTTGGCTTCGATGTGGGTTGCTACACTGCTTTCATGGTGGTAGCAAAAGATGGTAGCAGCAAACGGTCGCAAAGGAGTACAGTGATCGTCAAACACCGTAGCTTTCGCTTTAACTCATTTAAAAGCTACAACGCTTGCGTTGCATTTGCCGGTAACCGGCGACTTGTCGGTACAAGCGCTAAGTTACAGCAAGTGACGAAGTTTAGAAATACTCGCGCAAATTTTATTACTTTATTTGGGAAGAAGGCAGCTGATACAGCTGTTATCCGCGAACGGAGACATCTGCCATATCGGATCGAAGAAGGGCCTGGAGGCCGTGTTGTTCTACAGGTACGATGTGCTTTCTCGTGTATTCTCCTTAGGTTGAGCACAACGGTGTTGTGTAGTCCTTCTCTCCTGAACAAGTCTAGGCTATGCAGCTTACCAACTTGCAGTGCATAGCTGAGTCTTATCTTCCCAGCAAAGTAGTTGACTTAGTTACCAACGTCCCTATGTAATACACTACACTGAGAGGCGCGCCAGGCCGAATACTTTTTCACTATATGCCTAAACTGTGTGAGATTTGTAAATGATCTCACAGCATATACAGTCT